GAAGCATCCATATAGCAGGCTTCTCCAGGATAAGTCCCATGGAATGTCCTCTCAGGATCATTTGTACTAGCATTGTCCAATGGGATTCTGTTCACTGTGCGTTGTTCAACGTTCATATACCAGGGCTCACAAAAATTTCAAACCGTAAGAAACGTACGAATTATTCAATTAAAAAAAATGTACAACACACAAAATGCATGCACACATCATGCTCCTACCCGTAACAAAAGATGCATACAAAATATGAAAAAAGTTTCAGCGTACGGAAGGAGCATCGAAATTGCGATAACCTGCCCGATCATACCACTTGTTGATCACGCTTTCAAACTCAGCATTAATACCGTGTGCATGCACAGCCTTCTCTTCACCCAGGTGATAATACTCTTTTTCCTTGATTTCTTTATCCTTGACGCGTTGCGAGTCTCTCTTGGCACGTTCCTCATGACGAAACCGCCTGATGCCTTCATTCAGTTGAATCCTGCGACGTATGTAAAAATATGTTTAAATTCAAGTTACCTACGAGGGCTGTCTCATTTGACCTTGGGTATTTCTAGACTAGGTACCAGTTTTTAAAAGATGTATCATTTAGCCCATCCTATTTTAAGGTTCTGGGATTTTTTTAAAAGAATTCTAGATTCACTGCAAGACAAAAGGTGAAAACCTTCCAGTTTCGGCAAGGGTTTTCCATCCATATCAAAAGCTCTTGAGAAATTTTCGTGGTATACAAAAAATTTTCATTGTTTTCAAAACAATACAGTATTTCCTACATTTTCTGTAATCTTCAAAATGTTTTAATGAATATTTTTTTGCCACAAATGAAAACCCAAGTCCATTTTGAGTTTTTCCAAAAGCAATTATCAATTTCCGGGACAAGCCTTGCACATGTTGAATACTTCTACGAATGAATTCCAGAATGACCGTACAGTAATAAAGTTATAGAAGACCTTAATGACTTCGGTGGATTTCTGTTCCCCAACACGAAGGATTCTTCGTCTTCGTCCAACACTTCATGCCGTGATGGCTTATGCCTCCTCCTCCTTCTCGAGTTTGGTGGTGATTCGGGTGGTGGATTCATCTTGAAAAATGTGTAGAAGAAGGACATGAGTCCTTGTAGCTTGTTCAATGGCTGAAAATAAATGCAAAGCTTGTCAGAAGTAATCTTTAAAATAATAAATTGGAACTTACAATCCTCAAGTCCTCCTTCATCACGCGATGCTGAAGATTCAGAGGTCGATGGTCACGGTCCAAAACATCTGGATCATCCTGGCTTTCTTTAAACTGCTGGGCATCACGTTCTGCAACATTTCTCACAGGACCATCACTACATGGTTCCTCTTCATCATCATCATCATCTGTTGATATACAGTAGTAAATATATCCATGCATTACAGTTGAACCTTGACAAACTTCTCAAAGTCGAATTTATTCTTTCAAGTCCCCATCAGAATCCTCTTAGAAACATAATGCTTTAAAAACCTCTATAACCCCAAGGTTTTTCTCACGAACCTCCACAACTCAAACTTTCTGAGGCCATTCGGGTTTAATTTTAGTGATGAAAGAAAGAAAAAAAGCAACTTGATGTGTCTTAAAGGGAATAAGTGAAAAATTACAATTGGGCAAATGAACCCAATACCTGTCAACTCATGTGACAAGCAATTTAAAGCCCAGCATATGAATATTCACAATTTAATGCAATTCTTCTATGCTTCTCACAACAAAAATGCGTGTTTCCCTGACTGGAAACCTCCTAAGGCAAAACTTATCCAAGTCGAATTTTTCTGCTGGCCACTTGAATTACAACTTTAAGCTGGTTTGACTGTATAGTACAGTATAACATGTCCACTTCATATAAACAACCTGTTTTGTACACACAGGTGTTTCATTCTCCAAAACGTCCAGACATTTCATTCAAGCATTTTCGT